ACCATATATGAACACAGGGCAAGCTAGCTCATGGGCAGGAACTTGCCAATTCCTGCTCTACCTGCTTTTCTTTTGAATTGCAAGGTTTTTTAACCCTGGCTGGTGGGAACACACACTATTCCTATTCCTAGGCTTGGGTGAGCTCCAGGGATTTTTCCTTGTTAACGCTTCGGACACATTTTTCCTTGGTGAGGTTATCAGGTACTGGTTCCTATTCATCTGAAGGCAGGAGTAGATCTGCAAATTTCCAGAACTCTCTCTCTGTGCTGCTCTCTCCATCCTGTAGCTGGCTTTGCAAACTCCTCCCAGAACTGACCCCTACAATACTGCTCTGATGGCAAATATAGCACATGACAGTGAAACAGTTTAACTTACAGTTTTCCCAGTTACTACCTGTAGATTCATGTCTACTGCTTCAATTTACTTTGTAAATAGAATTTTTATCTATCTCTTCATCANGGCAGGAGTAGATCTGCAAATTTCCAGAACTCTCTCTCTGTGCTGCTCTCTCCATCCTGTAGCTGGCTTTGCAAACTCCTCCCAGAACTGACCCCACCACCACCCCCTTGCCTCTTAAGTCTGGGATTCAGCCAAGCTTGCCTTTGGTTTCCATCCATCCTAGGTTGCAACCTAGGAACTTTCTCCAGGCAGCATTCGGGGCCGTCATAGGGCTCATCCGATGTACTTGCCCTGTCTCAGGTATCATTATCTTTTGCTGTACAATATTCAATGTCTGAAAATCATTGTTTCATATATTTTGTCTGTTTTTTTTTTGTTGTTGTTTGTTTGTTTTAGTTGTTTTGGGTTGTAGGATAAATCTGGCCCTTGTTACTTCATCTTGGCTGGAAGTGGAAATCCCAATAGGTTTTTAATATTTCACCTACAAGGAAACTGAGGCTCAGAAATGTTTAGAAATTTCACCAAGATCATTCAGCTAGGAAGCAGTGGAGACAAAGTTCAACACCAGGGCTTCTAACTTCTAAATGAGTGCTTTCCTCGATATGCTACACTGCTTCCATTAGAAGGCTCTAACTGCAATCTGCCTTTTAAATACAAAGCAATGAACTGTAGCCTTTCCTGACACAGACTGATACATCCAATTTTAATCAAAGAGTTTGGGGGTTCTCCTATGTTTTGAAAAATTGTGGAGGGGTCTTATACTTTTTATATTTTCCAATGGAGTCATCCTCCCCCATTCCACTTTAGCATTTTTTTGTGTGGTTCTGCTTGTCAAGAATATTTAGGATTTTTTCCAAATGGTAGGAAATCTTGCCCATTTTTATGATCTTATACTGATAATCTTTCTACTGGAAAATCCCCATCTGGCTCAAACTTCTCCAGCATTTTCCAGGGATGTGCCTATGCAAATGTACTGGAATTACCTTTCACAAAGGAGGGAAAAACACTGTATTGCTAAACTACCTAAATACGATGAAATGGGAAATGTGGAAATGTACGCATAAATTCTCACAGTTCATTTTTACTACTTTCCGCAATTCCATTTGACATTTCCTGAAATTGTAATAAATTTTTGAATGGTAAAACATATGGCATTTGCGTATGCCAAGTGAGAGATATTATTTAGATAGTGAATAGTCACAGAAATGTGTAGCATTATACTACCAGGAGGCTCTCTGTTTAATGAGAAAGGAGCATTTATCCCCTTAAAAATACACAACTTATAAATATATACTAATATATGTATATATCTATAAACACAGATAAGCTGTGTTTGTCATAAGCAATGTATTTGCAAATAAAACATTATGTAAATAATGCTATGCCACATGCAACTCTTTTAAATGTGTGAGGAGCAGATTTCTTACAGCAATAGAGAAAAGCGAAACTCTAGATGGTGATTCATACATCTTTAAATCTTTTGAGTTTAGTTTCATATATATATGTATATGTATGTATATATACATATATAACTTTACTTCTTAGTTAACCATTTAAATTATTTTTAATATTGCATGAAAATCAAGTTTGATGCTTGTTTCTTTTGATATTTATTCATCGATGTTTATGCTTTTACTAGAAACTTTCTGTACTAGCATACCTTAGGCATCTTATTTACACACCAATATGTATACACATTTTTCTCAGTCTTAAAATGAATGGAATGACTTCTAATACTCCTTCCAGCTAGGATAAAACATGGTAGGTAGGATTTCCTCATTATAGGATATGTTATGTCTTTGAAACACATTAGAACACTTTAAGAAATTATCACCATCATTGTTTCTATGGGGAAATTCAGTTCAGGGAGAGTAAATAATTTGCTTAAAGTCTAAAAGGTGGGGAAGACTCAAGGGTCTGAATTATAGTATATATATATATTTTTTTCTATACCACTGGTTTACAAATACTTTTATCAAGGTACATTTTTAAAATGATACACTATGAGAAATCACAAGATTTATAAAAGAGATATAGTATTTCATTAGTGCATATTTACTTTTATAAATTCAAAATGAAAATACGTACTATGGGGTTAATAAATAATAAGGCAAGTTTTATATACATAAAAATTTGAAGACAAATGTTATGGACACAGTTTAGGGTTTTAATGACCTCTACCCCAATTTATTTCTATAATGTATTGGATTTGCTGTGGCAAGAAATCCCTTATTTATAAAGATAAGTCATTGTAAACAGAAGCAATTCTTCTAAACAGCATACCTCATGATCTCAAGATGCCTTCCATTAATTTGACCCAGAACATGGAATATAATTAGAATTTTTTGTTTCTATAATTACTATTTAGAATATCTAACAACTACTCACATTCCTTATAGTAAATATCTCAGACAATACTACCAAAATTCCCACATGTATTATATAATTTTATGATGATATTATATGTATGTTTTCAATGACTTTTTTTCAGGTCCAAGGGCATAACTTTGAGACAGCAGACTAGAGCCTGTCTCACATTAGGTAAATTGTGACAAATAATATCCTAAGTGTCTATAGCTGCACAAATTAATTTTGTCACAGAATTTCAACCTGGAAACCTGATTTGGCACAACTTAACTAATGTGAACCCTCAATACATGTTAATTATTGTCAATAGTGTCAATATACTCTTGCTTTTTTTTGAAAATTACTGTGCCACATTTGCTTGTTTGGCTTGTAATTGGGAATAAATAAAAGTATATCAAATAAATGTGTATTTTAAAGTTAGATTTGATTTTATCCTTGTAGTCCAAAAATTTTCATGATGTAATTTTGTTACACTTTTCTTTTAAAGAATCTTTTCCTGAGTAAATAATCTGAATATGCAGATTAGAATAGATCTATGCATCCTCATCCTTATTTTGATTTTGTTTTGCTCTCAACTTGCACTTCTTTACTCTCTTAAGATGAACATAATTTCTAGTATTTTACTTTGTGATGTCACATCTGTTCATGCCCTCATTAAACCTCATGTTTGCTATCCATCATTCCTTCAACTTTTGATATACCTCCATCTTTTAAATGAAGAGTCACTGAAAACTTCTCTTCTGAAGAAGCACAAATTTATCATTATTCGATGAGGAAAAGGCTTATGAAATTAATTTCTCAAACACATAGAATTAAAATTAATTATAGAATGTTTCTTAAGAAATGGTCAAAGGGTTGGAGAGGTCAGGTTGTAATTATATTCCCTCAAACTGATGAAGTGTTTTCATTAACAGGGTCCCTAATTTTATATTTTTTGTCTTTTATGTTTCTAATTGTTCCACCTTTGATTCTCATGCTTTTCTTACTATTAGTGAATTATCAAGAATATAGCAGTCATGGAGAGAAAAAAATAGGGTTGCTGTACTAAGGGCTTTAGGAAGATATTGACTTGTGTGACAATAAGACAGGTACTGATATTTAATTAAAATCAGGTTTGCCTGACTAAGCACAGAGACGAATTTGGAGGCTGGCTGACAAAGACAGTAAAAAGCAAGTGGCAACATATTTAATAACAACAGTAAAACATATATCTATTATTGGTTGTATAGCATTTCAAAATGCATTTAACTCATACGATTAGAAAGTACAGCCAAAAGTTTTGAAACTTCAGAGTTCAAATGTCAAGGACAAACTTACTGTATTCTAAATTTCAGCTATGTGATGGCAGTATCATGAAACCAGTCCCATAAAACAATTTTCTCATGACTATAATTACTACAAATTTTCTGGATTACAGAATTAATGTAGACTATTTTTAAATATAGCATTATTATTTCCTTTGTATATATTCTATCTTTATTTCTTCCTCTAAAATAGCTATCTGTACAACTTCTATTTACCACAAATTACTATAAAAGATTTAAAAGATTCTCAAAGCTTAAAAAACGTGTAAACATGTATCACAGCAAAAAATAGTGGTATTATCCAATAACAGACATACATTCTTTACTTGGCAAAGGCTATCATTACAGATAAAGGTATAATTGTAACTTTAACCTTCTAAATTGACAACTGGAATCATTGTGTCATTGTTAATATCAGTTGCTACACTATTTATCATCAGTAACTATAAAATATTTTACCAGATTGATAACGTTGTATTATTTCAGAAAAAAAATGCTAAACACAATCAAATAATAATATTGCAGAATGCAGAGCACATAATTACAAAAATAAGATGAATATATATGCCAAATCAATTGTAAAATCTAAATAATATGAGGGTAATTTATTAAATTTTTATCAGACTAAAATATTCCATTAAAATGTTTCAATTTTATTTTGCCAAAATTTTGTTCTTCTATACTTTCAGCTATTGTATTTTGCCTTCAGCAAACCCAATTTACTTACCTTGGATGGTGGTTCTAAAGGGTATAGGCTCCAAGATTTTGCAGCACTGCTAGGAACTTGTTATCTATATTAACACATACTTACCTCCTCTGTTTTTCTTCCTTTACATAAATAATAAACATAATGATTTCATGACGTGACATGATATGATACATAATATAATGAAATATAATGCACAGAATAATATAATATTAAAAACAAACTTACATAGGAGAAAACACCAAAAAACAAAAGTGGAAACAGAAAATAGTTTCAGAACAAATATCAAAGGTGTTAGACTGGTCACAAACATTAAACAAACAAAAAATTCCTACCTGATGAATCAAAGTTCACCTCATTTCCAGGACTTGGACCTGAATCAATGGACACAACTGGTAAAAGTTTCCGAAAGTCCCACAGTTTTGTAACTCCACAGGAATCACAGGATGCTATTATGTGACCCTTTAAAGTATAAAAAGAAAAAAAGAAAAAAGAAATGTACATACATATATGTTACATATATTCAAAACTATACAGTAACACATACAAAAGAGAAGGCTTGTTACAATTTTATTAAATCCACAAGAATATACTCCTCTGAAATAAAAAGTACCTTTCTTCAAGATCTTTGTCTTGAACATAAAGTTGTTATAAAACAATAATTTAAATACATAAAATCCTATAGTAATTTTGGTATATTTTTCAGGAAATCATTTTAATTATTGTAATTATATTAAAAGATGTAATAAAACAAAAATATCCACATCCATGCAATTTTCTATGCACACATATCCCATATCATGTATATATGTGATCTATACATAAAAGCTATATACATAAAAACATTGCCCTCAAAGAGTATCTCATTTTATAAGATAGTGATTAAGTTAATATTGATAATTTATACCGCAGATAGAATAAAAGTAAAAACAGAGGTAGGAAAACAAATGGACAAGAGGAAAGGTGCATTTTTATTGTAGAAGTTAGAATGACTGGGGCCAGGTGAAATTGATGACAAGGAAACAGTGCTTACTGTGGTCTGTTAGACAAAATTACTAGAAATATTTGGGGCTTTGAGGTGACGTATAATGGGATAAGGGTGAAGATAACTGGATAAAGGGGATGGAAAACAAAGGGAAGAAGGCTGGATGGATTAAAGTTTTATGGAAACAAGAATAGATATTTTCCCAGTATAGAAGTACCATTATGGATACATTAGTTCCTCGGTCAAGGTCTGTCTACACCCCTCCTGCTGGTCTCACAGGAAATGTTATTGACCACACATTTCAGGTCAGGGTCCCAGATATAGTGATTGCTCCTGTTCTCTAGCAACACATAGCCTACTATCATTGTTATCATTCTGTCATTTAATTTCTGTGTCCACTCACCAATTAAATATGAGTATTGGCGACATCAGGACCATAAATAACATTTATGATAAGTCATTATACAGTGTTCCATTCAATATACAGTCTCTCTTTCAGCTCTAGCTTAACTTTTTTAATGTCAGATCAAAAATCACATTCTCATTTTCTTCCTAAATATTCTAAAATATTAAAGGTTCTAAAATACTAAAGATAATAACGATTATTGTACAGTTTTCCTTCTTATCATTTTGAACTAGCTCACACAATTTCTTTTTTCATTTACTCCTTGATTTCTAACCTTTCTGTCAAAAATGTGTATCTTGTGTGAAACTGCATGGGGATTCTGTTTTCTCCTAAACATACCAGTCATACAACAAATACCATTCATTTTAAAATGCTGTAAGTGTAGTCACTGGTGAAGCAATATAACCACCTTGCACCCAATCTCATAAATGGGATGTTTAATCTTTTTTATGACTTAAAAGGAACATGAGGGACTTGGAATGTTTTCAAATATGTAAACATGTATTGTAAGAATTGTGAAAAATCAGTGGATTTAATTTTCAGAAAAGGACAGTTCTCAGGATTAGCAGGGAATGTGAATGTTAGCAGTTAGAAATAAGTCTTTTCAGATATATGGGTTTTCAAACATCTTTCAGAAGTCAACAATGGAATTTTTTTTTTCAATTCTGAGAACAGAACAGATAAATTTTAACCAGGACTTAATTTGGATGCAGTTCTAACCAAAGGCAGGTTATGGACTTGATGTACAGTAAGTCCCCGACTTACAAACAAGTTCCGTTCTGGGAGAACATTCGCAAGTTGGATTCGTTCGTAAGTCCAACAAAGTGAGTCTTTGCACTTCCTAGCAGTCCCCTCCACACCACCACTGCTTTTCCTCTTGCTTCCGGACATCTGAGCTCTGATTGAGCACTGCACTACTGTACACTATCGCACTGTACAGTAAGCACACAGCAGCACAACTGTGACAATGTCCGGCAGCCACGTGAGCTACTTCCGCGATTTGTTTGCATCTACGAATGTTCGTAATGCGAGGTCTGTTTGTATGTGTGAAAGTTCGCAACTCGAATGTGCGTAAGTCGGGGACTTACTGTATTTTTCTGTCTGGATTCTATGAACTAAAGATAATCTCAAAGTGTGCTTTATAACCCTACATATAAAAATGAGGACACACACTTAAAATTTAAAAAAAAAATGTTCAATCATTTATTTTGTGAAAATAAGTATTTGAATAGTTTTAATTTTTTACATTTATCTTTTACTGCTGCTAAGTGATCAATATATGACAGTTTGATAATATTAAGAGTCAATACTTATTATATGCTTTTAATGAACCAAGTACTGTGCTAAATGCTTTATTAAGAAAAGAATATATATTATTTAAACAATTTTGAATAACTAATATTATTTAGCCCAATTTTTTTAATTTCCCAAGAAACTTAGAAGCCCCAATAAAGCATATATTAGGTAAAATAAATATAACTTATTAATGATAGAAATAAGTTTGTGTTTAGATTTGACAACTGAGTGATACTTGATAGTGAAAGAACAATTTCGCTATACCTCCAGTTCATCAATGAGCCTATGGCAGTATCTGGAGCATGGTGGAGCTCAAAGAATATTTGTTAAACTGATAGCTGATGAATGCCTCATTGGAGCTTATCTAGAAGTTTTACTTTAGTTCAATCATTCCACGACAGTTTTCAGGTAAATATTAGTTCTGACACTGATGGCTCTGAATCTCTTAGAAAAAAATGAAGATATAGATAATCCAGAACCAAAAATTTGGAATAGCCTCAAGACCTAGAACCCCTCCCTTTCCTATCTTAGGCAAAATGGAAGGCCATCTGCCAATCAATCTCCTCCCACAGGGCATTAGCAGTTACTAGAATATTGTTTATCTGAGCAGCATAGGGTAAGTTTTGAGGGATCTGGAGATGGAGAGACATGGAAAAGGAATTAGCTGACAACCTAGGGGAAAAAAGCCGAACAAATCATTTATCTAGAGGCAGGTAAGAAAACTAAGAGAGAGAGAGATCTCAAAGTAAATGTTTTTTAGAGGTATTTCATTATGTGCAATAATTCCATTTTACAGATGAGGAAAATAAGGTTTAAAGAGATCAAGTGACTTTCCTAAAATCACTTAGGTAGAACGTCTTGGAGTGAGCATTCAAAATAGGTCTGATTGACTTCAGAGTCTGAGATTTTAACTGATTTATTACATTCTTTTGGGTCGTCGGGAAAGTCATGACACGTTTTTGCATTGGAAAACAGAAAAATACGTCATGACTTTCCTGATGACCCAATATTTCTTGAAACTAATATAGCATAATATATTATAAATGTTTAAATATATTGAATATATCTCTTCACTAGGATACAGTTAAATAAGTGAATAACTCAGATCAATATTTGTCACAGTGATGTTTCTCACATTATTAGTTATAAGATGGGGCAGCAGAAATGTAAGAAAATAATTTTTCATAGATAGATACATAAACAGACATGCATGTACATATACATACATATATAAAACTGTAACTTACAATTATATACCTAAACTATTATTTTAACTATTATAATGGCATTTCCAAAGATGATTAATACAAGGGAAAATATGCATATGTAGTTAAATGAAAGAAGCAATAAACAAAATTGTTTACACTGTGATACACACACACACACACACACACACACACACACACTCACATATACAAAGCCTATGTTGAAAATACAAGTGGTAGGAACAAAATAAGAAATGCTTATCTTTAGGTGGTAGGATATATCATTTTTATTTTATTTGTTTCTTTTAGCCTTTTCAAAATTCAAATTTCATGAAATTAGTATATATTAATTGTTATCATCAGAAAAACATTTTTAATAAGTAAATAATGAAATCAAACATCATACACCATACCTGTCAAGTGATCTAGTTTTCACATGTTAAAATTCTACTATGTAAAAATGGGCAAAAACGAGGGTTTATCAAGTAAACGGCAGAAACATTAAGCCCCAAAACATCAGCTGTTCTCAATATGCGAAGGTAATGACCTGCAACTTGGTATTAAGGTATAACTATAACAAAATGTTTAGGCTCATTAGGAGAAAAATTAGTATCTCAAACATTTTTAGTCTACTGATACATTAGTGTGTCTCTTAGGACAGGCCTGTGCAGCATTAAGCATTAACTCGTTACAATATTTCTTCATTCCCTAATGGCACAAATAAGGCAAAGAAATTATGGAATTTGAATGGAAAGAGAAGGTAAAATTAGGAAATGCTCAAGGAATTCAAGGCTAAAGGCGGAGTGGAATATAAAGCATTCAGAAGATGTAAATAAGATTGTTGTTGTCAGTACATTCTTCTTCCCAATGCCATTGTCTATATGCTAGGTATTAATAATTTATATCACCAATCATGCCCCAGGTATATGGAAACAAGACATCTCAACCATAATTACTACACTACACTACATCACCACAATAACTTGTTCAAAATTATATATATATATATATATATATAATCCCATTTAATCCTTCATCTTTATGGTTAGATTATACTGTCCTATTATTCAGAGGAGAAAAATGAGACTTACAATGTTATACGACTTGCCCAAAGTCATTTGTTTAGAAAGCATAGAACCAGAATTCAAATTCCGTCAGTATGACTTAAGGGTCCAAGCTCTTAAGTTCTACACAAGGAAAATGTTTTGCGGGTCTTGACTGAGATGCTCCTAGGAATGGAAGCCAATGAAATAGCACGTGAATGCTTAGAGAGCACACTGCATGATTCAGGCAGAGCACCCTGAAAGAACTAACAGTACTTTAACAGAAAATCAACAAATATGTATCCGTGAAGAGCACATTGAGCAAGCGGGCGTTTAAACTCATAAGGCAGGCGAATAATTAGAAACAGATGAAGACAATCAATGTACATAAAGGAACAAATATTTACTGAGCTACACTATGTCCCTGGCTTCAGGCCGGGAGCAAGAGATGTGATGGATGTAAATTCAAAAGGGGTTTGTAGATAATTATTGGAGAGAGAGGAGTAATTCAGCACTTGCAATACAAA